CATCTTCCATGAAGATATTTAGTAAATTTTCTACCATAAATATATAAAAAATGTATTATCATTAGTAATATGCATTGCTAAGGACTTTATTTGGACAATTTTAAAGGCAATTTTCTCAATATTTAGATTTTTTTGCACACTCAGATTCCAGATTTAAAATAGTTGTATCTCGGCCAAATATTGTCAAAAAATACATTTAAAAAAGTGTACCCTTATGACTAGTTTTGTGGTCCAGGGTCATGTATATATACTGTATATGTAAAATTATATATGTATATATAATGAAGACCTATTTATAAGACCATTCTACTCTTTACTATTTTTTTTCTTTGTGATTGTTGGAATGATGAACTGCAGCTGAGACAGTATTTGCCCCACAGGTCCTGCAGGTATGCCGGGATATGGAAAAGACGGCCTTCCTGGAGCCGCAGGCGCTCAGGGAGAGCCTGGTAATCCTGGTCCTCACGGTCAGCCCGGACCTCCTGGACCGCTAGGGCAGTGTGACCCCTCACAATGTGCTTACTATGCCAGTCTGGCATCAAGACCTCATACCAAAAACGTCAAGGGGACTTAATACCCCCCTCACTGTCCTGGGCTAACCACCTATTTATGAACTTGGACATTCAGTAAGCCAAGAGCATTTCCTTTAACATCAGGAGAACTACAGAGTCTGAGGGGTGAGTGAATGCGTGTGTGTTTATACGTGTGTTTGGCATGGGCTTTTCACTACAGTTAATGTGTTCTTGAACCCTGAGTTAAGGCCACTTTTAATCCTGGGTTAAGCAACGTTTCACACTTTAGATTTTGAAAAGGTGTTAGCATGTAGCATTAGCACTTTCAAGGGATTGACTCTGAATAGTGGTGCTGAAGGTAAAAAATGTTGAAACAATGCTAGATTATTAGGATCCCACAGCCATTATATACAGGTTTGCTTTTTTTTTTGATTGTCAGACTTTGAAAAATCCTGGAAACTTTATGGAAATAGCTATTGTGAATATACACTTTTCATAATAAACTTTGTCATTAAAAACTTTACAATTTAGAAAAAAAAAAGTTTTCTCTCATTGAATCAGATCAACTGGTTCACAAATCGTTCAGTTATTCAACATTTCAAATATTCAAAGTTAAGTTTAAATTTAATTTAAAATCCTTATCAGTTAATCACAAACAGCTTGAAAAGTAACTAAAAAGTCACTAAAATCAATTGCAAAAAATTTGGGGAACTTTGTAAAAACCTCATTAAATAACAAGTTTTAACGTTTAGTTTCAGTGTCTGCTAAAACGAGGCAGAAAATGATTAATAAAACATGTTGAGTACTGTACTTCAATGCCAATGTACAATCGATGTATTTCACCTCATAAAAATGTAAATAAGAATGTTAACCCAGGTTTTACTAATGTAGAATGTGAAACCTCTACAAACCGATTACCCAGGATTGATTGCTAACTCAGTATGGTGTTAATCTTATAAACCCAGGGTTAAAAATGGCCCTTGGTTAACAGTTTTAAGTGTGAAAAGCCCACTAGTGTCCTGCCGGTCAGAGTTGGTTATAATTTTTTTATTAGAGGAGGGGTGGGTGGGTGTTTAGTGAGTTTAAATTCTAGGTCATTTACTTCAGGTCAAGGCTTTCAAAGCTTTCCCTGTAACATGAAGACATTTACTTCCCAGACTGTGATCTCATAATGATGCAGTCCAGGTTGTGCCGCCCACACTCAAGTTCTGCTGATGGCGTTTACTGCGGTCATCGATCAGTAATCACAGAGTGGATCCATTGTTAGTGATGTCTGTAGCAGGTCAGGATGTGCTTATGAAGTCTGGGGAATTCTCTACTTGAGTTTTATTGATGAAGCGCTCCGTTGCTCTGGGAAAAAACACTGCGGGACACTTTTCCACTCATCAATAGAAAATCCCATTAGAGGTGATGGAGAAATGTATTTCTGCTCTTTTTAGTCTACGTTTTGTAAGATCTCTTTTTGTAGCCATGCATCAGATAAATAACGTCCCGTTTTTTCATTTTGGATCATTAAACTTGTGTTTGTGATGACTGAGAGGCAGCTGCTCAATGCAGTGCCTGTTTGATAGATTAACGCGGCTGGTTTGTCATAAAAACAATTACCAAAAAAGGCTGTCACTGCATAAATACATATGACTGATGCCTCTTATAATGTATTCGTAATAGTTTTGTGTAGCACTTTGCTTTAAAACACCACTGCGTTTGTTATTATGGAAGTTCCAGAACACAGAGTCCTAGTTAAAGCAGTACTATCATTTGTGGCACTAAAGCGTTCAGATGGATCGATCCTGCAGATTGCTCCCCTGTGAGCCAATTAAAGTCATTGACTGCTTCAGAACGAACTCTCTTCAGCCCACAAACAGGGATGCAATTCATCTTCAACTGACAGGCATTGTAGCATCAATGAGGTCAAGGATAGATTGATGTTAGAAGGCTCTTGAGCATTTAGTTGTTTTTGAGTTCGCGTGACTGAAATTGTAATATCCAAAAGAAACAATATTGACTTTTCAGTCTTAGTGCCCAAATGTTAGTTTGTTTTCCCTTAAATTCATGTTATCCTTGAAAGGAATTTTCAGTGTTATTGTATGAGTATTATTTTTTGAATGAAACAACTGACCTCTTCTTTGTAGAGTTTTTACCCTCTGATCATCAGGTTTATGCAAACATTTTATTTTATTTGATCTTATTTTATCCCTATACTTACCTGACAGATAAGTGTCTCGGTGAAAGAGGGAGTGGTCTGTGCTTTCTTGATTTCAGCCAATCAGAAAGTCTCTTTCCCCGTCAATCAGTTTGCATGTTCATGTTGGCTGTTTTGCAGGGTGAGATTTTCAGAGAGCGGTCGTGTTGAATTTAGCAAAATAGCTGAAATAACTTACAGCATCATTAGTGGATAAGAATTATTTGAATATGATGATTTTAATCATATTCTAATGCAAAACCAGATGTGATACTGTATAGGCTTGTTGTTTACCTTCTAATTCAATGACCATGATAAAGCTCTTAGTATTTAGTATTATATACACATACTTTATAAAAAACAAAATCTTTTTTTTTATTTTTTATTGTTTGTCCATCTTTGCCCTGCCTAGTGTAAAAGCTGAGCTTATTACTGATGCAAATTGATGTAAATTAATGGTGCTTTTTCGCTGCAAGTCAAAGAAATCATGTTTTCCTTTCACCTTATTTAAAATATGGTTGCTTTTTGACTTCGTATCCTCCTGTTAGTTCGGCTTCTTCAAGCTGATAATGACTGTATTTGTTTTTCCATATCAATTTGCATTAAATTATTCTAATGAACTACAGGTGCAGGTGATGTAAAAAAGTATAATTTATGCATGGTATATTTCACTTGTTTATACTGATTCTCTGGTGCTACGGTTAAGCTTAATTAGGCTGATGTATGTGTATGTGTATGTGTGTGGGGAGAGTGTGTGTGTTAAAGTCTGGATCAGATCCATTTTCTAGAATTGGGTTGTTATTGTGAGAAAAAAGTTTATACCATATACAGTGTTCTTCAGTAATGAATTTACAAGTTTGCATGTTTTATTCCTGAAACAGTCTAAATGAACAAAACATGAATGATCAATTGTATTAACTAATATAAAAGGATTATTTGTTTGAAAAAGTGTTTCATTTTTGTAAAGGCAATTTTCATTTCTGTAATTCTTAATCGTCAAGTACAATATGACTAAGATTTTTAACTGATTCTCTGGTGCTACGGTTAAGCGTAATTAGGCTGATGTATGTGTATGTGTATGTGTATGTGTATGTGTGTGGGGAGAGTGTGTGTGTTAAAGTCTGGATCAGATCCATTTTCTAGAATTGGGTTGTTATTGTGAGAAAAAAGTTTATACCATATACAGTGTTCTTCAGTAATGAATTTACAAGTTTGCATGTTTTATTCCTGAAACAGTCTAAATGAACAAAACATGAATGATCAATTGTATTAACTAATATAAAAGGATTATTTGTTTGAAAAAGTGTTTCATTTTTGTAAAGGCAATTTTCATTTCTGTAATTCTTAATCGTCAAGTACAATATGACTAAGATTTTTAATACCTTAATTTTCTGTTTTAATGAGTTAATGTTTTATGAGCTTTTTCTTAAAAGCTTCAAAATTCAAAATTATTTTCTTGAATTATCTTTGTAATTATTATAGTAATGCACTCACAATTGAAATAAGATTTTGTGCTAAAACCACTTAGCACCATTTGTGCAAAGCGCTTAGTCCATTGAACAATTCTATGGAAAACAACAATGCAGTCGGTTGTTTTTAAACCCTATATGAGTGGAAATTAGTTTCTGTTGTAGTTGACAATATGTTATAGATGCTGAACATGGAGTTTAAGGTGTATTGAACCTTACATGATTATGTGCCAATAAAATCGTCATTCTGGAATAGTTCCTTTTTGTCAATCTGTATTTATAATTATCTTGAAAATGACCTTAAAATATGTAGTGGACAACCAACTAGTTTTAACAACTAATTTTAAAATAAAAACAATCAAAAAACCATTCTGTTTGGTGTGCATGTGTGGATTATACTGTAAATGCATTTGAATGTATTTGAAAAACATAGGCCTTCCAAAGACATATGGACTTTTTTTTTTCTTTTTTTAGAAAAGAAAATGTAAGCAAACTGAAGAAGAATTAGGGTGGATGAATAAATTACGAACAATTTACTGCCATTGAATATGTTATGTAATCTATAAAAAAGTAACTGTAATCTGACTATTTTAAAATGTAATCTAATTAGAAGTACCTATTTTCTGGAATCTGATTATGTAATCCAGATTACATGTAATCAGTTACTATCCAGCACTGAATGTAACATAATCAGGCCTCCTGAAACATCAACAAAGTACATTTTCTGTCACTAATTGTATAATATTATGTGGATTTTATCTACCGGTATATTGACAAAAACCTCTTATTAAAGCTTTTCAAGATAAACCGTAGCACACTGGTAGCATGGTGGTGAAAAGCTTTTATTTCAAGCTGTTGTAGGATCACACTGTCGTTCTGTTGGCGTAGCTTAATGTCTGGCACCATGTCTAAAATTGACCTTTACAATCACATTTGATGAAAAAATATTTTTAAAAATTCAATTCTATGGCATGTAGTGGTCTGGAAATGATCGATTATAGCAGTTTGTGGCCCAAGAACTGAAACATCAATTACCGATTAATTTATTTATCTGCGATTTACTGTAAACCTCCTGAAAGAACAAACACATTTACTTTTAGTTTATGTACAAGGTACAACAAATCCACCATCAGGAGCTGCATCCGTGTGTCTCTATACATCTGTCACGTTTGTTTCTCTCACCGTCTGCTCGCCATTTGAAGTCTCTTCAAGTTTGTCGTAAATGAACTGGCTGATGATGACTGTGATGAAGATTTCTAGAAGGTTTCTTTTATTCTGTTCATGGACCCTTGATGTTGACAGACCTCTTCCCGCCAATCATGTAAAGAGGTTGAGGCCTAAAGCAGTTTGAAGGATCACAAAGACCAGGGGCACCCGGAGGTCCTCTGGCTCCAAGGGTTCCTGGGGTTCCAGGCACACCGGCGTCTCCTCTGGCCCCATCCTGACCGTCCTTACTGATGCCAGGCTTGCCAGCTGGTCCTGTTTTATGAAATCAGATTTGATAAGGAAAGGTGTTGAAAATGTTTATGTAAGAAAATTCACTATGACTCAGTTATCTTTTGAAATGATGGTACAATAGGATAAGCAGAAAGTGTTGCGTACCTTGAGGTCCGGGTTCTCCAGGAATTCCTGGAATTCCAATTCCATTATCTCCCTTGTCACCTTTTTGTCCTGCATCACCTACACACATATATTATTATTAGACAGTCTATCAAATTGTGACTCTCCACAGACAAAACACAATCTTACAGTATGGCCCAGCAAATTTGTTTATATAGCACATTTCATAAACAACAGTAATTCAAAGTTAAAAAAAATTATAATAATAATAAAAAAAAATTAAATAAAGTCGCATACAAAGATGCATAATGTATTAAAAACAAAAAGTAATGGCACTGACCTCATTCAGATAATCATCATCAGCATAAGATAATATTATGGTACTTTATGTTTACATATTTGGTGTGTGTGTGTGTGTGTGTGTGTACACATCATTACTCCAGTCTTCTGTCCTTCAGATATCATTCTAATATGCTGATTTGCTGCTTAAAAACATAATAATAATAATAATAATAATAATAATAATAATAATTATTATTATTATTATTATTATTAATGTGTAAAACAGTTGCTATGCTTAATATATTTGTTATTTTTTTTCTAGGTTCAAAGGAACAGCATTTATTTAAAATATAAATCTTTTGTTAACATCTTTATGGTCACTTTTTTTTCTTATCATTTTAATGCATACTTGCTGAATAAAAGTATTATTATAAAAAAAATATTTTCTATCAGTAGAATGACAAACATCTCTTCTACATAAGTTTACTGCCAACTTTATTTCTTTTCGGTAATAGTGTAATTTTCATAGCTCTCCCATGTGGATCTGGAGCATTTTAATATTTGGTTAGAAAGGAGGTGTGTTTGTTTGGCCACAACAAATTGAAAATGGTTTCATGGTGCAAAGCTAGCAGAAATACACATTGTTGTACTGAACACTGAAGAGCTGCATTCACACTTCAGTCTTTGGCCTGTTAGTTGACTGGGATTGATGGCTAAATTCTTATATTTAAAGCTCGTATAAGGGACCTGGGAAACCCTTGTGAGACTGCTGACATTTCTACAGTCAAAAACCCTGCAAGGCACAAGACACAAGTCTTGAATGCTAAACTGTTTTCTACATTTATCAACTTCAATAAACATGCTCACATCCTCAGAGGTTTGGCAGAAATAACAGGTAGATTGAGATGCTGTCGGGGGCTTTTCTAATTATCCTGTTATTGCTTCTCAATCTCTGTCTCATTAGCGAGCATAGCATTCCTCCTCGGCTCGCTGGCAATTAGCGCCGACGGCACTCACTGTACAACAGCCTCCGCTTGTGAGGACAAAAGAACGTCTCGGTTACGTATGGTAACCCTCATTCCCTGAAGGAGGGAACGGAGGCGTCACGTCGGATGACCGACGAATTGGGATCTCGCTTAGAGAGACCAATCTACTTCGAGTGTAAACTAA